CTCACCCTTTTCGGAGACCACACCCACCTGCACATCAACCCGTCGGGCAAGTTCATCATCGGGGGTCCCCAGGGCGATGCGGGCCTCACCGGCCGCAAGATCATCATCGACACCTACGGGGGCTGGGGCGCCCACGGTGGCGGCGCCTTCTCTGGCAAGGACCCGACCAAGGTGGACCGCTCGGCGGCGTACATCTGCCGGCAGATGGCCAAGTCCGTGGTGAAGAGCGGCCTGTGCAAGCGCGCACTGGTGCAGCTGTCCTACGCCATCGGCGTCGCGAAGCCGCTGTCGCTGTTCCTCGAGACTTACGGCACCGAGCAGGGCAAGCTGTCGGCCGAGGACATCACCAACGTGCTCAAGATTGAGTTCGACTGCCGCCCTGGCGCCATCGCGGTGACGCTGGCCCTTCGCGAGCCCAAGTACCAGGAGACGGCGGCCTACTGCCACTTCGGCCGCGAGGCGTACACCAAGGATGGCAAGAAGTATTTCGAGTGGGAGAACGCCAAGGACGTCAAGAAGTACGCCTCGATGGATTCGGCGCAGGTGTCTGCGGCTCTGAAGGCGAGCAACTACTTGACTAAGTGGGTGGACTGAGATGCCTCTCTTGCTCCAGGTATCGTTACCTCGCAAAGTATTGCGCTGCTGCTGTTCGCAGTGCAAGTTTTGCCATGTCGGCACCGTGCCCAGATCCGCGAGCCCGTCATCCAAATGACGAGCCTGTGCGTTGGGTTGGTTGGCCTTTGAGACATTTGATCCAGCACTTGTATCTGTTGCCTCTTCCCCACCCGAGGGTCGAGCTGCCAGAGAACAAGGTAGTGCTGATCGCGACCCTCCCCGTGGTGTATCGTGGAGAGAAAAAATGGCACCCAGCTCTTACACAGTTACGTTGGGGCCCACGATGGGGGGTCACCACGGGGGGCCACGATGGGGAGCCACGATGGGGAGATCGGGATATGGGTAGGGATCGGTATAGGGGTAGGGATGGGGATACAGGACTAAGAAGATAGAGGGCTAGGGATTCCGAGGGGTTCTCGTGGGCTGTTCCCTTCCCCTCTCCTCTCTCCCCCTCTGTTCCCCCCACGCCGTAGCCATTTTGGCTCAAGTAGAGGTGGGACGCTCGCCCAAGACCGCGGCACCCGGAGCCGAGTGAAGACCGCAGCCATGGGCGAGCCTGCAACCAAGAAGGCCAAGACCGAGCGTACTTTCCTGTTCTCGTCGGAGTCCGTGAACGAGGGCCACCCGGACAAGCTCTGCGATCAGGTCTCCGATGCCGTGCTGGACTGCTGCCTTGCGGGCGATCCCAAGAGCAAGGTCGCCTGCGAGACCGCCACCAAGGACAACATGGTCATGGTCGCGGGCGAGATCACCACCCAGACAGCGATCGACTACGAGAAGGTCGTCCGCGGTGTGGTAAAGAAAATCGGCTTCGACACCTACGTGGATGACCTGTCCAGCGTGGACAGCAAGGGTCTCAGCGACACCACGTGCGAGGTCCTGGTGCGCATCAACAAGCAGAGCCCCGACATCGCTGGCGGCGTGCACGTCGGCAAGGACGATATGGACGTCGGCGCAGGCGACCAGGGCATCATGTTTGGCTACGCCACCGACGAGACCGAGGACTGCATGCCGCTCACCCACTCGGTCGCGACCAAGCTCGGAAAGAAGCTGACGGACGTGCGCAAGGACGGCTCGCTCTGGTGGCTGCGCCCGGATGGCAAGACGCAGGTCACCATCGAGTACGTGCAGAAGGCCGACGGCTCCGTGGAGCCCCAGAAGTTCCACACGATCGTGATTTCTACCCAGCACGCTGAGCCCTTGAAGGCCACACGCACGAAGGAGTGCGCCGGCTACACGGGCGCAGAGATGACTGCACCCAGCATGGAGGCTATGAACAAGGAGATCGTCGAGAAAGTGATCAAGAGCACCCTCGCAGAGATCAAGCTCAAGAGTGGCAAGCCTGCGCTCACCCTTTTCGGAGACCACACCCACCTGCACATCAACCCGTCGGGCAAGTTCATCATCGGGGGTCCCCAGGGCGATGCGGGCCTCACCGGCCGCAAGATCATCATCGACACCTACGGGGGCTGGGGCGCCCACGGTGGCGGCGCCTTCTCTGGCAAGGACCCGACCAAGGTGGACCGCTCGGCGGCGTACATCTGCCGGCAGATGGCCAAGTCCGTGGTGAAGAGCGGCCTGTGCAAGCGCGCACTGGTGCAGCTGTCCTACGCCATCGGCGTCGCGAAGCCACTGTCGCTGTTCCTCGAGACTTACGGCACCGAGCAGGGCAAGCTGTCGGCCGAGGACATCACCAACGTGCTCAAGATTGAGTTCGACTGCCGCCCTGGCGCCATCGCGGTGACGCTGGCCCTTCGCGAGCCCAAGTACCAGGAGACGGCGGCCTACTGCCACTTCGGTCGCGAGGCGTACACCAAGGATGGCAAGAAGTATTTCGAGTGGGAGAACGCCAAGGACGTCAAGAAGTACGCCTCGATGGATTCGGCGCAGGTGTCTGCGGCACTGAAGGCGAGCAACTACTTGACTAAGTGGGTGGACTGAGATGCCTCTCTTGCTCCAGGTATCGTTACCTCGCAAAGTGATGCGCTGCTGCTGTTCGCAGTGCAAGTTTTGCCATTTCGGCACCGTGCCCAGATCCGCGAGCCCGTCATCCAAATGACGAGCCTGTGCGTTGGGTTGGTTGACCTTTGAGACATTTGATCCAGCACTTGTATCTGTTGCCTCTTCCCCACCCGAGGGTCGAGCTGCCAGAGAACAAGGTGGTGCTGGTCGCGACCCTCCCCGTGGTGTATCGTGGAGAGAAAAAATGGCACCCAGCTCTTACACAGTTACGTTGGGGCCCACGATGGGGGGGCACCACGGGGGGCCACGATGGGGAGCCACGATGGGGAGATCGGGATATGGGTAGGGATCGGTATAGGGGTAGGGATGGGGATACAGGGCTAAGAATACAGAGGGCTACCGAGGGGTTCTCGTGGGCTGTTCCCTTCCCCTCTCCTCTCTCCCCCTCTGTTCCTTCCACGCCGTAGCCATTTTGGCTCAAGTAGAGGTGGGACGCTCGCCCAAGACCGCGGCACCCGGAGCCGTGCGAAGACCGCAGCCATGGGCGAGCCTGCAACCAAGAAGGCCAAGACCGAGCGTACTTTCCTGTTCTCGTCGGAGTCCGTGAACGAGGGCCACCCGGACAAGCTCTGCGATCAGGTCTCCGATGCCGTGCTGGACTGCTGCCTTGCGGGCGATCCCAAGAGCAAGGTCGCCTGCGAGACCGCCACCAAGGACAACATGGTCATGGTCGCGGGCGAGATCACCACCCAGACAGCGATCGACTACGAGAAGGTCGTCCGCGGGGTGGTAAAGAAAATCGGCTTCGACACCTACGTGGATGACCTGTCCAGCGTGGACAGCAAGGGTCTCAGCGACACCACGTGCGAGGTCCTGGTGCGCATCAACAAGCAGAGCCCCGACATCGCTGGCGGCGTGCACGTCGGCAAGGACGATATGGACGTCGGCGCAGGCGACCAGGGCATCATGTTTGGCTACGCCACCGACGAGACCGAGGACTGCATGCCGCTCACCCACTCGGTCGCGACCAAGCTCGGAAAGAAGCTGACGGACGTGCGCAAGGACGGCTCGCTCTGGTGGCTGCGCCCGGATGGCAAGACGCAGGTCACCATCGAGTACGTGCAGAAGGCCGACGGCTCCGTGGAGCCCCAGAAGTTTCACACGATCGTGATTTCTACCCAGCACGCTGAGCCCTTGAAGGCCACACGCACGAAGGAGTGCGCCGGCTACACGGGCGCAGAGATGACTGCACCCAGCATGGAGGCTATGAACAAGGAGATCGTCGAGAAAGTGATCAAGAGCACCCTCGCAGAGATCAAGCTCAAGAGTGGCAAGCCTGCGCTCACCCTTTTCGGAGACCACACCCACCTGCACATCAACCCGTCGGGCAAGTTCATCATCGGGGGTCCCCAGGGCGATGCGGGCCTCACCGGCCGCAAGATCATCATCGACACCTACGGGGGCTGGGGCGCCCACGGTGGCGGCGCCTTCTCTGGCAAGGACCCGACCAAGGTGACCGCTCGGCCGCGTACATCTGCCGCAGATGGCCAAGTCCGTGGTGAAGAGCGGCCTGTGCAAGCGCGCACTGGTGCAGCTGTCCTACGCCATCGGCGTCGCGAAGCCGCTGTCGCTGTTCCTCGAGACTTACGGCACCGAGCAGGGCAAGCTGTCGGCCGAGGACATCACCAACGTGCTCAAGATGAGTTCGACTGCCGCCCTGGCGCCATCGCGTGACGCTGGCCCTTCGCGAGCCCAAGTACCAGGAGACGGCGGCCTACTGTCACTTCGGCCGCGAGGCGTACACCAAGGATGGCAAGAAGTATTCGAGTGGGAGAACGCCAAGGACGTCAAGAAGTACGCCTCGATGGATTCGGCGCAGGTGTTGCGGCACTGAAAGGCGAGCAACTACTTGACTAAGTGGGTGGACTGAGATGCCTCTTTTGCTCCAGGTATCGTTACCTCGCAAAGTGATGCGCTGCTGCTGTTCGCAGTGCAAGTTTTGCCATTTCGGCACCGTGCCCAGATCCGCGAGCCCGTCATCCAAATGACGAGCCTGTGCGTTGGGTTGGTTGGCCTTTGGGACATTTGATCCAGCACTTGTATCTGTTGCCTCTTCCCCACCCGAGGGTCGAGCTGCCAGAGAACAAGGTGGTGCTGATCGCGACCCTCCCCGTGGTGTATCGAGGAGAGAAAAAATGGCACCCAGCTCTTACACAGTTACGTTGGGGCCCACGATGGGGGGTCACCACGGGGGGCCACGATGGGGAGCCACGATGGGGAGATCGGGATATGGGTAGGGATCGGTATAGGGGTAGGGATGGGGATATAGGGCTAAGAAGATAGAGGGCTAGGGATTCCGAGGGGTTCTCGTGGGCTGTTCCCTTCCCCTCTCCTCTCTCCCCCTCTGTTCCTTCCACGCCGTAGCCATTTTGGCTCAAGTAGAGGTGGGACGCTCGCCCAAGACCGCGGCACCCTGAGCCGTGCGAAGACCGCAGCCATGGGCGAGCCTGCAACCAAGAAGGCCAAGACCGAGCGTACCTTCCTGTTCTCGTCGGAGTCCGTGAACGAGGGCCACCCGGACAAGCTCTGCGATCAGGTCTCCGATGCCGTGCTGGACTGCTGCCTTGCGGGCGATCCCAAGAGCAAGGTCGCCTGCGAGACCGCCACCAAGGACAACATGGTCATGGTCGCGGGCGAGATCACCACCCAGACAGCGATCGACTACGAGAAGGTCGTCCGCGGGGTGGTAAAGAAAATCGGCTTCGACACCTATGTGGATGACCTGTCCAGCGTGGACAGCAAGGGTCTCAGCGACACCACGTGCGAGGTCCTGGTGCGCATCAACAAGCAGAGCCCCGACATCGCTGGCGGCGTGCACGTCGGCAAGGACGATATGGACGTCGGCGCAGGCGACCAGGGCATCATGTTCGGCTACGCCACCGACGAGACCGAGGACTGCATGCCGCTCACCCACTCGGTCGCGACCAAGCTCGGAAAGAAGCTGACGGACGTGCGCAAGGACGGCTCGCTCTGGTGGCTGCGCCCGGATGGCAAGACGCAGGTCACCATCGAGTACGTGCAGAAGGCCGACGGCTCCGTGGAGCCCCAGAAGTTCCACACGATCGTGATTTCTACCCAGCACGCTGAGCCCTTGAAGGCCACACGCACGAAGGAGTGCGCCGGCTACACGGGCGCAGAGATGACTGCACCCAGCATGGAGGCTATGAACAAGGAGATCGTCGAGAAAGTGATCAAGAGCACCCTCGCAGAGATCAAGCTCAAGAGTGGCAAGCCTGCGCTCACCCTTTTCGGAGACCACACCCACCTGCACATCAACCCGTCGGGCAAGTTCATCATCGGGGGTCCCCAGGGCGATGCGGGCCTCACCGGCCGCAAGATCATCATCGACACCTACGGGGGCTGGGGCGCCCACGGTGGCGGCGCCTTCTCTGGCAAGCGACCCGACCAAGGTGGACCGCTCGGCGGCGTACATCTGCCGGCAAGTATGGGCCCAAGTCCGTGGTGAAAGAAGCGGCCTGTGCAAGCGCGCACTGGTGCAGCTGCCTACGCACATCGGCGTCGCGATAGCGCTGTCGCTGTTCCTCGCGACTTACGGCACAGAGAGGGCACGCTGTCGGCCGAGGACATACCAACGTGCTCAAGATTGAGTTCGACTGCCGCCCTGGCGCCATCGCGGTGACGCTGGCCCTCGCGAAGGTGAAGTACCAGGAGACGCGGCATACGGCCACTTCGGCGCGAGGCGTACACCAAGGATGCAAGAAGTATTTCGAGTGGGAGAACGCCAAGGACGTCAAGAAGTACGCCTCGATGGATTCGGCGCAGGTGTCTGCGGCACTGAAGGCGAGCAACTACTTGACTAAATGGGTGGACTGAGATGCCTCTCTTGCTCCAGGTATCGTTACCTCGCAAAGTGATGCGCTGCTGCTGTTCGCAGTGCAAGTTTTGCCACTTCGGCACCGTGCCCAGATCCGCGAGCCCGTCATCCAAATGACGAGCCTGTGCGTTGGGTTGGTTGGCCTTTGGGACATTTGATCCAGCACTTGTATCTGTTGCCTCTTCCCCACCCGAGGGTCGAGCTGCCAGAGAACAAGGTGGTGCTGATCGCGACCCTCCCCGTGGTGTATCGAGGAGAGAAAAAATGGCACCCAGCTCTTACACAGTTACGTTGGGGCCCACGATGGGGGGTCACCACGGGGGGCCACGATGGGGAGCCACGATGGGGAGATCGGGATATGGGTAGGGATCGGTATAGGGGTAGGGATGGGGATATAGGGCTAAGAAGATAGAGGGCTAGGGATTCCGAGGGGTTCTCGTGGGCTGTTCCCTTCCCCTCTGCTCTCTCCCCCTCTGTTCCCCCCACGCCGTAGCCATTTTGGCTCAAGTAGAGGTGGGACGCTCGCCCAAGACCGCGGCACCCGGAGCCGTGTGAAGTCCGCAGCCATGGGCGAGCCTGCAACCAAGAAGGCCAAGACCGAGCGTACTTTCCTGTTCTCGTCGGAGTCCGTGAACGAGGGCCACCCGGACAAGCTCTGCGATCAGGTCTCCGATGCCGTGCTGGACTGCTGCCTTGCGGGCGATCCCAAGAGCAAGGTCGCCTGCGAGACCGCCACCAAGGACAACATGGTCATGGTCGCGGGCGAGATCACCACCCAGACAGCGATCGACTACGAGAAGGTCGTCCGCGGGGTGGTAAAGAAAATCGGCTTCGACACCTATGTGGATGACCTGTCCAGCGTGGACAGCAAGGGTCTCAGCGACACCACGTGCGAGGTCCTGGTGCGCATCAACAAGCAGAGCCCCGACATCGCTGGCGGCGTGCACGTCGGCAAGGACGATATGGACGTCGGCGCAGGCGACCAGGGCAGCATGTTTGGCTACGCCACCGACGAGACCGAGGACTGCATGCCGCTCACCCACTCGGTCGCGACCAAGCTCGGAAAGAAGCTGACGGACGTGCGCAAGGACGGCTCGCTCTGGTGGCTGCGCCCGGACGGGAAGACGCAGGTCACCATCGAGTACCTGCAGAAGGCCGACGGCTCCGTGGAGCCCCAGAAGTTCCACACGATCGTGATTTCTACCCAGCATGCTGAGCCCTTGAAGGCCACGCGCACGAAGGAGTGCGCCGGCTACACGGGCGCAGAGATGACTGCACCCAGCATGGAGGCCATGAACAAGGAGATCGTCGAGAAGGTGATCAAGAGCACTCTCTCAGAGATCAAGCTCAAGAACGGAAAGCCGGCGCTTACCCTTTTCGGAGACCATACCCACTTGCACATCAACCCGTCTGGGAAGTTCATCATTGGGGGCCCCCAGGGCGACGCAGGCCTCACCGGCCGCAAGATCATCATCGACACCTACGGGGGCTGGGGCGCCCACGGCGGTGGCGCCTTCTCCGGCAAGGACCCGACCAAGGTCGACCGCTCGGCCGCGTACATCTGCCGACAGATGGCCAAGTCCGTGGTGAAGAGCGGCCTTTGCAAGCGCGCGCTGGTGCAGCTGTCCTACGCCATCGGCGTCGCGAAGCCGCTGTCGCTGTTCCTCGAGACCTACGGCACCGAGCAGGGCAAGCTGTCGGCCGAGGACATCACCAACGTGCTCAAGATCGAGTTCGACTGCCGCCCTGGCGCCATCGCGGTGACGCTGGCCCTTCGTGAGCCCAAGTACCAGGAGACGGCGGCCTACTGTCACTTCGGCCGCGAGCCCTACACCAAGGACGGCAAGAAGTTCTTCGAGTGGGAGAACGCCAAGGACGTCAAAAAGTACGCCTCGATGGATTCGGCGCAGGTCTCTGCGGCTCTGAAGGCGAGCAACTACCTGACCAAGTGGGTTGATTGAGATGCCTCTCTTCTGCTCCAGGTTGCGTAACAATTCGCAAATGTGATGCGCTGCGCTGCTTGGTCGCCAGTGCAAGTTTTGCCCATTTCGGCACCGTGCCCAGATCCGCGAGCACCGTCCTCCAAATGACGAGCCTTGCTGGTTGGTTGGACCTTTGGGACATTTATCCAGCACTAGTATCTGTTGCCATATCTTTCCCCACCCGAGGTCGAGACAGCTGAAGAGAACAAGGTGTGCAGTCGCGACCCTCCCCGTGGTGTATCGAGGAAAGAAAAAAGGGCACCCAGCTCTTACACAGTTTACGTTGGGGCCACGAATGGGGGCGCACCACGGGGCCAACGATGGGGAGCCACGATGGGGAATCGGGGATATGGGGTGTAGGGATCGGTATAGGGTAGGGAATGGGGGATACAGGGCTAAGAATATAGAGGGCTAGGGATTCCGAGGGGTTCTCGTGGCTGTTCCCTTCCCCTCTCCTCTCTCCCCCTCTGTTCCTTCCACGCCGTAGCCATTTTGGCTCAAGTAGAGGTGGGACGCTCGCCCAAGACCGCGGCACCCGGAGCCGTGCGAAGACCGCAGCCATGGGCGAGCCTGCAACCAAGAAGGCCAAGACCGAGCGTACTTTCCTGTTCTCGTCGGAGTCCGTGAACGAGGGCCACCCGGACAAGCTCTGCGATCAGGTCTCCGATGCCGTGCTGGACTGCTGCCTTGCGGGCGATCCCAAGAGCAAGGTCGCCTGCGAGACCGCCACCAAGGACAACATGGTCATGGTCGCGGGCGAGATCACCACCCAGACAGCGATCGACTACGAGAAGGTCGTCCGCGGGGTGGTAAAGAAAATCGGCTTCGACACCTATGTGGATGACCTGTCCAGCGTGGACAGCAAGGGTCTCAGCGACACCACGTGCGAGGTCCTGGTGCGCATCAACAAGCAGAGCCCCGACATCGCTGGCGGCGTGCACGTCGGCAAGGACGATATGGACGTCGGCGCAGGCGACCAGGGCATCATGTTCGGCTACGCCACCGACGAGACCGAGGACTGCATGCCGCTCACCCACTCGGTCGCGACCAAGCTCGGAAAGAAGCTGACGGACGTGCGCAAGGACGGCTCGCTCTGGTGGCTGCGCCCGGATGGCAAGACGCAGGTCACCATCGAGTACGTGCAGAAGGCCGACGGCTCCGTGGAGCCCCAGAAGTTCCACACGATCGTGATTTCTACCCAGCACGCTGAGCCCTTGAAGGCCACACGCACGAAGGAGTGCGCCGGCTACACGGGCGCAGAGATGACTGCACCCAGCATGGAGGCTATGAACAAGGAGATCGTCGAGAAAGTGATCAAGAGCACCCTCGCAGAGATCAAGCTCAAGAGTGGTAAGCCTGCGCTCACCCTTTTCGGAGACCACACCCACCTGCACATCAACCCGTCGGGCAAGTTCATCATCGGGGGTCCCCAGGGCGATGCGGGCCTCACCGGCCGCAAGATCATCATCGACACCTACGGGGGCTGGGGCGCCCACGGTGGCGGCGCCTTCTCTGGCAAGGACCCGACCAAGGTGGACCGCTCGGCGGCGTACATCTGCCGGCAGATGGCCAAGTCCGTGGTGAAGAGCGGCCTGTGCAAGCGCGCACTGGTGCAGCTGTCCTACGCCATCGGCGTCGCGAAGCCGCTGTCGCTGTTCCTCGAGACTTACGGCACCGAGCAGGGCAAGCTGTCGGCCGAGGACATCACCAACGTGCTCAAGATTGAGTTCGACTGCCGCCCTGGCGCCATCGCGGTGACGCTGGCCCTTCGCGAGCCCAAGTACCAGGAGACGGCGGCCTACTGCCACTTCGGCCGCGAGGCGTACACCAAGGATGGCAAGAAGTATTTCGAGTGGGAGAACGCCAAGGACGTCAAGAAGTACGCCTCGATGGATTCGGCGCAGGTGTCTGCGGCACTGAAGGCGAGCAACTACTTGACTAAATGGGTGGACTGAGATGCCTCTCTTGCTCCAGGTATCGTTACCTCGCAAAGTGATGCGCTGCTGCTGTTCGCAGTGCAAGTTTTGCCACTTCGGCACCGTGCCCAGATCCGCGAGCCCGTCATCCAAATGACGAGCCTGTGCGTTGGGTTGGTTGGCCTTTGGGACATTTGATCCAGCACTTGTATCTGTTGCCTCTTCCCCACCCGAGGGTCGAGCTGCCAGAGAACAAGGTGGTGCTGATCGCGACCCTCCCCGTGGTGTATCGAGGAGAGAAAAAATGGCACCCAGCTCTTACACAGTTACGTTGGGGCCCACGATGGGGGGTCACCACGGGGGGCCACGATGGGGAGCCACGATGGGGAGATCGGGATATGGGTAGGGATCGGTATAGGGGTAGGGATGGGGATATAGGGCTAAGAAGATAGAGGGCTAGGGATTCCGAGGGGTTCTCGTGGGCTGTTCCCTTCCCCTCTGCTCTCTCCCCCTCTGTTCCCCCCACGCCGTAGCCATTTTGGCTCAAGTAGAGGTGGGACGCTCGCCCAAGACCGCGGCACCCGGAGCCGTGTGAAGTCCGCAGCCATGGGCGAGCCTGCAACCAAGAAGGCCAAGACCGAGCGTACTTTCCTGTTCTCGTCGGAGTCCGTGAACGAGGGCCACCCGGACAAGCTCTGCGATCAGGTCTCCGATGCCGTGCTGGACTGCTGCCTTGCGGGCGATCCCAAGAGCAAGGTCGCCTGCGAGACCGCCACCAAGGACAACATGGTCATGGTCGCGGGCGAGATCACCACCCAGACAGCGATCGACTACGAGAAGGTCGTCCGCGGGGTGGTAAAGAAAATCGGCTTCGACACCTATGTGGATGACCTGTCCAGCGTGGACAGCAAGGGTCTCAGCGACACCACGTGCGAGGTCCTGGTGCGCATCAACAAGCAGAGCCCCGACATCGCTGGCGGCGTGCACGTCGGCAAGGACGATATGGACGTCGGCGCAGGCGACCAGGGCATCATGTTTGGCTACGCCACCGACGAGACCGAGGACTGCATGCCGCTCACCCACTCGGTCGCGACCAAGCTCGGAAAGAAGCTGACGGACGTGCGCAAGGACGGCTCGCTCTGGTGGCTGCGCCCGGATGGCAAGACGCAGGTCACCATCGAGTACGTGCAGAAGGCGACGGCTCCGTGGAGCCCCAGAAGTTCCACACGATCGTGATTTCTACCCAGCACGCTGAGCCCTTGAAGGCCACACGCACGAAGGAGTGCGCCGGCTACACGGGCGCAGAGATGACTGCACCCAGCATGGAGGCTATGAACAAGGAGATCGTCGAGAAAGTGATCAAGAGCACCCTCGCAGAGATCAAGCTCAAGAGTGGCAAGCCTGCGCTCACCCTTTTCGGAGACCACACCCACCTGCACATCAACCCGTCGGGCAAGTTCATCATCGGGGGTCCCCAGGGCGATGCGGGCCTCACCGGCCGCAAGATCATCATCGACACCTACGGGGGCTGGGGCGCCCACGGTGGCGGCGCCTTCTCTGGCAAGGACCCGACCAAGGTGGACCGCTCGGCGGCGTACATCTGCCGGCAGATGGCCAAGTCCGTGGTGAAGAGCGGCCTGTGCAAGCGCGCACTGGTGCAGCTGTCCTACGCCATCGGCGTCGCGAAGCCGCTGTCGCTGTTCCTCGAGACTTACGGCACCGAGCAGGGCAAGCTGTCGGCCGAGGACATCACCAACGTGCTCAAGATTGAGTTCGACTGCCGCCCTGGCGCCATCGCGGTGACGCTGGCCCTTCGCGAGCCCAAGTACCAGGAGACGGCGGCCTACTGCCACTTCGGTCGCGAGGCGTACACCAAGGATGGCAAGAAGTATTTCGAGTGGGAGAACGCCAAGGACGTCAAGAAGTACGCCTCGATGGATTCGGCGCAGGTTTCTGCGGCACTGAAGGCGAGCAACTACTTGACTAAGTGGGTGGACTGAGATGCCTATCTTGCTCCAGGAATCGTTACCTCGCAAAGTGATGCGCTGCTGCTGTTCGCAGTGCAAGTTTTGCCATTTCGGCACCGTGCCCAGATCCGCGAGCCCGTCATCCAAATGACGAGCCTGTGCGTTGGGTTGGTTGACCTTTCAGACATTTTATCCAGCACTTGTATCTGTTGCCTCTTCCCCACCCGAGGGTCGAGCTGCCAGAGAACAAGGTGGTGCTGATCGCGACCCTCCCCGTGGTGTATCGAGGAGAGAAAAAATGGCACCCAGCTCTTACACAGTTACGTTGGGGCCCACGATGGGGGGCACCACTGGGGGCCACGATGGGGAGCCACGATGGGGAGATCGGGATATGGGTAGGGATCGGTATAGGGGTAGGGATGGGGATACAGGGCTAAGAAGATAGAGGGCTAGGGATTCCGAGGGGTTCTCGTGGGCTGTTCCCTTCCCCTCTCCTCTCTCCCCCTCTGCTCCTTCCACGCCGTAGCCATTTTGGCTCAAGTAGAGGTGGGACGCTCGCCCAAGACCGCGGCACCCGGAGCCGTGCGAAGACCGCAGCCATGGGCGAGCCTGCAACCAAGAAGGCCAAGACCGAGCGTACTTTCCTGTTCTCGTCGGAGTCCGTGAACGAGGGCCACCCGGACAAGCTCTGCGATCAGGTCTCCGATGCCGTGCTGGACTGCTGCCTTGCGGGCGATCCCAAGAGCAAGGTCGCCTGCGAGACCGCCACCAAGGACAACATGGTCATGGTCGCGGGCGAGATCACCACCCAGACAGCGATCGACTACGAGAAGGTCGTCCGCGGGGTGGTAAAGAAAATCGGCTTCGACACCTACGTGGATGACCTGTCCAGCGTGGACAGCAAGGGTCTCAGCGACACCACGTGCGAGGTCCTGGTGCGCATCAACAAGCAGAGCCCCGACATCGCTGGCGGCGTGCACGTCGGCAAGGACGATATGGACGTCGGCGCAGGCGACCAGGGCATCATGTTCGGCTACGCCACCGACGAGACCGAGGACTGCATGCCGCTCACCCACTCGGTCGCGACCAAGCTCGGAAAGAAGCTGACGGACGTGCGCAAGGACGGCTCGCTCTGGTGGCTGCGCCCGGATGGCAAGACGCAGGTCACCATCGAGTACGTGCAGAAGGCCGACGGCTCCGTGGAGCCCCAGAAGTTCCACACGATCGTGATTTCTACCCAGCACGCTGAGCCCTTGAAGGCCACACGCACGAAGGAGTGCGCCGGCTACACGGGCGCAGAGATGACTGCACCCAGCATGGAGGCTATGAACAAGGAGATCGTCGAGAAAGTGATCAAGAGCACCCTCGCAGAGATCAAGCTCAAGAGTGGCAAGCCTGCGCTCACCCTTTTCGGAGACCACACCCACCTGCACATCAACCCGTCGGGCAAGTTCATCATCGGGGGTCCCCAGGGCGATGCGGGCCTCACCGGCCGCAAGATCATCATCGACACCTACGGGGGCTGGGGCGCCCACGGTGGCGGCGCCTTCTCTGGCAAGGACCCGACCAAGGTGGACCGCTCGGCGGCGTACATCTGCCGGCAGATGGCCAAGTCCGTGGTGAAGAGCGGCCTGTGCAAGCGCGCACTGGTGCAGCTGTCCTACGCCATCGGCGTCGCGAAGCCGCTGTCGCTGTTCCTCGAGACTTACGGCACCGAGCAGGGCAAGCTGTCGGCCGAGGACATCACCAACGTGCTCAAGATTGAGTTCGACTGCCGTCCTGGCGCCATCGCGGTGACGCTGGCCCTTCGCGAGCCCAAGTACCAGGAGACGGCGGCCTACTGCCACTTCGGTCGCGAGGCGTACACCAAGGATGGCAAGAAGTATTTCGAGTGGGAGAACGCCAAGGACGTCAAGAAGTACGCCTCGATGGATTCGGCGCAGGTGTCTGCGGCACTGAAGGCGAGCAACTACTTGACTAAGTGGGTGGACTGAGATGCCTCTTTTGCTCCAGGTATCGTTACCTCGCAAAGTGATGCGCTGCTGCTGTTCGCAGTGCAAGTTTTGCCATTTCGGCACCGTGCCCAGATCCGCGAGCCCGTCATCCAAATGACGAGCCTGTGCGTTGGGTTGGTTGGCCTTTGGGACATTTGATCCAGCACTTGTATCTGTTGCCTCTTCCCCACCCGAGGGTCGAGCTGCCAGAGAACAAGGTGGTGCTGATCGCGACCCTCCCCGTGGTGTATCGAGGAGAGAAAAAATGGCACCCAGCTCTTACACAGTTACGTTGGGGCCCACGATGGGGGGTCACCACGGGGGGCCACGATGGGGAGCCACGATGGGGAGATCGGGATATGGGTAGGGATCGGTATAGGGGTAGGGATGGGGATATAGGGCTAAGAAGATAGAGGGCTAGGGATTCCGAGGGGTTCTCGTGGGCTGTTCCCTTCCCCTCTCCTCTCTCCCCCTCTGTTCCTTCCACGCCGTAGCCATTTTGGCTCAAGTAGAGGTGGGACGCTCGCCCAAGACCGCGGCACCCTGAGCCGTGCGAAGACCGCAGCCATGGGCGAGCCTGCAACCAAGAAGGCCAAGACCGAGCGTACCTTCCTGTTCTCGTCGGAGTCCGTGAACGAGGGCCACCCGGACAAGCTCTGCGATCAGGTCTCCGATGCCGTGCTGGACTGCTGCCTTGCGGGCGATCCCAAGAGCAAGGTCGCCTGCGAGACCGCCACCAAGGACAACATGGTCATGGTCGCGGGCGAGATCACCACCCAGACAGCGATCGACTACGAGAAGGTCGTCCGCGGGGTGGTAAAGAAAATCGGCTTCGACACCTACGTGGATGACCTGTCCAGCGTGGACAGCAAGGGTCTCAGCGACACCACGTGCGAGGTCCTGGTGCGCATCAACAAACAGAGCCCCGACATCGCTGGCGGCGTGCACGTCGGCAAGGACGATATGGACGTCGGCGCAGGCGACCAGGGCATCATGTTCGGCTACGCCACCGACGAGACCGAGGACTGCATGCCGCTCACCCACTCGGTCGCGACCAAGCTCGGAAAGAAGCTGACGGACGTGCGCAAGGACGGCTCGCTCTGGTGGCTGCGCCCGGATGGCAAGACGCAGGTCACCATCGAGTACGTGCAGAAGGCCGACGGCTCCGTGGAGCCCCAGAAGTTCCACACGATCGTGATTTCTACCCAGCACGCTGAGCCCTTGAAGGCCACACGCACGAAGGAGTGCGCCGGCTACACGGGCGCAGAGATGACTGCACCCAGCATGGAGGCTATGAACAAGGAGATCGTCGAGAAAGTGATCAAGAGCACCCTCGCAGAGATCAAGCTCAAGAGTGGCAAGCCTGCGCTCACCCTTTTCGGAGACCACACCCACCTGCACATCAACCCGTCGGGCAAGTTCATCATCGGGGGTCCCCAGGGCGATGCGGGCCTCACCGGCCGCAAGATCATCATCGACACCTACGGGGGCTGGGGCGCCCACGGTGGCGGCGCCTTCTCTGGCAAGGACCCGACCAAGGTGGACCGCTCGGCGGCGTACATCTGCCGGCAGATGGCCAAGTCCGTGGTGAAGAGCGGCCTGTGCAAGCGCGCACTGGTGCAGCTGTCCTACGCCATCGGCGTCGCGAAGCCGCTGTCGCTGTTCCTCGAGACTTACGGCACCGAGCAGGGCAAGCTGTCGGCCGAGGACATCACCAACGTGCTCAAGATTGAGTTCGACTGCCGTCCTGGCGCCATCGCAGTGACGCTGGCCCTTCGCGAGCCAAAGTACCAGGAGACGGCGGCCTACTGCCACTTCGGCCGCGAGGCGTACACCAAGGATGGCAAGAAGTATTTCGAGTGGGAGAACGCCAAGGACGTCAAGAAGTACGCCTCGATGGATTCGGCGCAGGTGTCTGCGGCACTGAAAGCGAGCAACTATTTGACTATCCAGCTGCCTGCGGCAAGTCCCGCCACCGTGCCAGCCCAGCATTCTTGGTGGCGACTGCTCGATGGGGGCACGGGAGGCCATCACGTGTGTCACCTCGTGTCTCCAGGCTCGGGAGAGCCGTGGTAGGAATGAGGACCATGGGGATTATGAGGACGATGGGGATTATGACGATGATGGCGATGTTGAATGATGATCGGTGGTGGTGATGATGATGATGGTGGTTGTGGTGGTGGTGGTGCCGGTGGTTGCTGTGGTGGTGGTGATGATGGTGGTGATGATGCCGATGAGGATGATGAATGATAGTGTTGTTGATGATGATGCTGATTGTGATTGTTATGGTGGTGCGGGTGGCGATGGTGATGATGGTAATGATGATATTGCTGGTGATGAGGATGATGATGATGATGATGATGATGAAGAAGATGATGATGATGGTGGTGCTGGTGGTGCTGGTAGTGGTGGTGGTGATGATGATCGTAGGGGTGGTGGTGATGATGATGTGGATACTGATGATTATGAGGATGGTGGAGACAATAACGATGATCGTGATGATGCTGATGATGATGCCGATGCTAATCGTTACGATGGTAATGTTGGTGATGGTGGTGGTGGTCGTGGTGATGATGAAGATGATGATGATGTTGAGAATGATACTGCTTATGATAATTGTGATGATGATGATGCTGATGATGATGATGATGCTGATGCTGCTGATGATGATGATGATGATGATGATGATGATTATGATGATGATACTGATGCCGATGATGAGGACGATGGTGATGCTGCTGCTGGTGATGATGACGATGCTGATGACGATGATGATGATGATGATGATGATGATGATGATGATGATGATGATGATGATGATGATGATGATGATGATGATGATGATGATGATGATGATGATGATGTTGCTGATGACGCCGATGGTGCTGCTGATGATGCTGCTGCTGACGATGATGATGATGCTGGCGATGACGATCACGCTGACGACGATGATGATATATGTTCTTGAACGGTTTGAGCTTGGGCTTTTGTAATTCGGTGATGTATAGCCACAATCAGACCTGCTAAACGATCCAGGATTTTAAACATCGGAACCCCGCTCTCCCCCTTGTCTGCCCCCTCTCCCCCTCTCTCCATAGCCTGTCTTCGGCTCAGAACGGGCGGAGCACCGCATGCTCTCCCCAGGTTCCGCTGCGGTGCTTCCGGCCTTGAGCTTGGCGCTGCTCGCGGGGCTAGGGTGGCGTCTGGCTCCTCCGCCTCTGGTGCCCGAGCCGCTGACCGTGTCTCCAGCGTGGCTCGAGGAGGTCGCGGAGGCCTGTGAGGCGGCCTCCTCCGCAGCCCTGTGCGCCGCGTGGGCGGCTCGGGCGGCGCTCGACGTGGCAGCCTCACCGCCGCCCCCGCCGCCGCCGCCGACGGACTGCGAGCCCTGCGTGTGCCCGGAGCAGCAGGGCGACGAGGAGCTGAGGGCTCTGGCGGTGCACGTGCTCGTGGGCCTTCTCACGCCAGCGTGGCTCTGGTTGACGGATCGGTGCTGCGGCAGCCCGAGTCGCCCAGGCCTTCGACGACATGCTGGGCCGACGCGGGCGCCGGGCACCCTTGCCCCCGTTGCCCGCGGGGGAGGAGTGGTGCGCTGACCTGCCCTGCGGGGCGCGCGCCAAGGTGAGCTACCTCGGCGACCTCGTGGATCACGAGCGGGTCGTCGTGTGGCCGTCGAGGCGCGAGGAGGACGGTGAGGTTGTCGACTCGCACCTGTGCTGGGTGCTCTCGCCGGACGGGGACCTGTGGGATGAACATCTCTCGGGAGCCTCCCTGGCCGACGGCCCCTCGAGCGGCGAGCGCCTGGCAGCCGGCGCCGCTCCGCCCGCGGGAGACCGCGAGCTCTGCGGCTTCAGGGAGATGCTCATGCTGAATCGGCTGGTGGAGCTGGCGGAGGAGTGCAGGGCTGCGATGGAGGCTCGCGGGCAGACGCCCGCGGAGGCGCCGGCCAGGATCGAACTCCCGTCGGGCGTCCTGCTGGACATTGGCGAGGTGTTCCCGTGGGCCCCCCCGCCGCGCGCGCCCGCCTTGCCGGCGCGCCCTCTCGCGGGCGGCGACGCGGGCGACGCCCTGGCCGCGGCCCCTGCGGGGGCGCCCACGCCTCCGCCAGAGGGTCACGTGTGGGCTTTGGCGGAGCCCGCGCCTGGGCTGCCGATCGGCTCCATCGTGGACGCCTCGACGGAGACCCTGATTGGGGTAGGGATCGACGCCCTCTGGCACCGGCGCGGCCGAGCATGGCGAGTGGAGCAGATGCCAGAGGCTGAGGTGGTCGACTGGACGTCTCGTCGCGTGGAGGAGCTGCGCCGCCTCTTGGAGATGGTGCCGCCGGCCGCTGCTCCTGGTGATGGGCCCCTGGCCCTTGGTGCCGGACCTGCTCCAGGCGGAGAGGCACCGCCGCCAGGGTCAGGCGACCGCGACGCGGGAGCCGACGCCGGTGACGGCGGCCTGAGGTCAGAGGAGCGAAGCGGCGACGACGCGAGAACCCTCTGGGTCGAGTGGGACGTTCAAGGAGTTTAGGAAGGCTATCAACGAGTCGGTGAGCCACGACTGGGGTCATCAGCGACTCGAGGGGGGCTTGACGTGCCTCCGCACGTGCAAGATGATGTGCCGCACGTCGGCTTCCCCACGAGCGTGGCTCGAGAAGTTCTTGAGAGAGAAGAATATCGCGACCACCGACCGGGTGGCCCACGAGCTGCGGCCCCTGACGGAGGTGCTCGTGGAGGTCGGCTGCTTCGACCAGCTGAACCTATGCGGCCTCGCCTGCCTCGAGGTCGTCGCCCGCCGCCTCAACGCCGTCGCGGGCGCCTACAAGCGCTGCGGGGCCCCGTCCTTCGCCAGCGCCAAGTACCTGGCGCCGCTCGGCGAGGCGGGCGAGCTGCTGGCATCGGCCTTGAGGCAGCACGTCTCCCGCCGCGCCAAGGAGGACTGGTAGGTGGAGCAGTCCATGAAGAAAGTGGAGGCCGTCGACTCTCGCGTCACGTCGGGCGCGGCGGCCAGGGGGGCCA